CTGAGGATCATCTAAACTTATCCTGACTATCTCTTTTATGGCTTTCTGTGCCTGAAGTATTGTACTCAACCTATATTTTAGAAATAGTTGAAGACTTCAACCAAGAGTGGAACAGAGTTAAGTGGCCTATGGACAAAGACATACTCAAAGCAGAAGTTTTAGCCAAGTGTCCATTTCATCAGAGAAGAGCAGTGCACACTCCAAAGCTGCCTTGTGCTAGCCAGGCAGGTCCACAGCTAAGGGACTAGCTGGAGCAGGTGCGACTGGTGAGCATGCAAGAGCAGGACAGCTTATTAAGGATGCCACAAGGAAATCTCATGAAAGAAAACTAGTCTTTAGATCCTTACTCTTCTCATGACCAGATTTCCTCATTAATTATTAGATACCTTAAAAAATGATTTTGATGACTTATTACCTGTTTGTCAAACACTGTTAAAATTTTTGATTCTCTATGGGATGGCTTCTGACAGAATTTATAAACTACTTTGAGCCTGCAATATGTCACTATATTTAATAGGAGTTGCATAACATGATAACCTTTTGAAGTTTAAAAAGTTAAAATGAAGAAACCTATCATCTACTGTTACAGAATTTAAAACATAAATACATAAAACTTATTTGCTTGTCTCAGATTTTCCTAATGAAAACAAAAACCCATTGAATTTTGCAAATATTCTTAAAGCATCTGCTATGTGCAAGAACTGAGCTGGGTCTTTCAAGTAATGTCAAAATGGGTGGTTTCCCATCAAATAGGAAAATAAAAGAAAAACATGAATAACTAATTCAAGCCAAATTAGTTCAATGCTATTAAGTGACACTATGGCTGTTCCTTTTTTTTGAATCACCAATTGAGTTTTGAAAAGTTTTCCAGCAAATATAAATTGTGGTGTAGAGAACACATACATTGGGTATACTTTCAGTTTCTTCTGGTTCTCAGTGTTTTAATGATGGGAACCATCTCAGCAATATCCATCAGTAGAAGTATAACTTCTATCTTTGTCACAGAGTTCAATATAGAAAATTTACTTGCATTTTAGTAGTATCAGCAGATTGTTTTCTTAATAGCTGTTTATTTTGAAATGACTTTAGACGTGTATGTAAGTTTCAAGAACAGCTTCTGTAATTCCGCTACCTATTAATTATCTTCTTTAATGTTCACCGCTTCAGAATAACCTCTCAATTGCAACTTTATTTCAGTTTCTTTTTGTTTTTCCTGAGTAGCACTCTAAAAAAACTAAGTTTACTGGTATAATTTAGATATACATAATGATCACATTAACCACAGGGAATTTATACCTGTACATTATATATCTTCTTCTTTTTCCCCCCAAACCCTTTTCTTTCCTTCAATCCCTCTTCCTGTCCTTATTTACAAAGTTTTGCTTCCATTTTATTCCTCTTTTCTCATTTCTTTGTTTTCCCTTTCTTCTTTTCCTTCTTCTCACCCTACCTAGTTCCGCTTTTCTTTTGAACAATTTCTTCCTATTTCACAATTTCTATTATACCATTTGGCTCTCATTTACACTTCTGGTTTTTCACACCAGAGGCTTGACTTTGAGCTCATCAGATTTTCCACCGATGTGCTTTTCCTGTTCCAGAATCTGATCGAATGTTCCACATTGCTTGTGGTCATTATGTCTACTCAACCTCTTCTAACCTGTTAGGTTTTTCAGTCTTATCTTTCAAAACCTTGATGCTTATATGTGGACATTTATTTTGTATAGTTTCTCTCAGTTCGGGCTTGCCTACTCTTTTCTCATGATTAGATTAAGGCACAAGTTCTCAATCAGGGGAAGGTTTTGTCTTTCAGGGGACATGTGGAGTATCTGGAAACATTTCTGGTTGCTATAAGACTATGGAGGGAGTAGGGTGCTGGTACTGGTATTCAGTGGGTACAGTTATAGATTCTTTTATAATGCAAAGGGCAGTCCCTACAACAAAAACCTATTTGACCCAATACATCAATACTGCCAAGGTTAAGGTTGATTTAACCAGCTGCATTATAGTCTTTGAGTATCTTCCACAAAATGGAGGTAAAATTAACTTTTCCTTTCTTCCAAGACTGTATTAGGGTCTCCTTAGTGTAAGAACTCAAAAGAAGAAATAAAAATTGAAAGGTATAGCACAGTAAAATAGAAATTGAGAATTTAGTGATTAAACAATGAAGAAAGAGCAAGGAGTAAAGTTAGGAAATATGGCAGGGGCAAAATCATACATTTATATAAAAAAGATGGTTAAGGCAATGGTCTAAGCATCTCCAGACTGGATTGAACCATGCAGTGCTAGATTAGACTTGTAGATATC